CTGGGTTCTTAATACCGAAATACACTCTAAGATCATTGAAATGCCAAACAAAATCGATCTCCGATCTCAGAAAGCTTCCTCTGGTGAAGGTATCACAGCTTAAGTCCATCCCCCAATGATTTGGACAACTCTTCACATGAGTTCTTCTGCACGATTCGGCAATGGTTTAGTGAGCGCATTTTAGATCCACTGAATTCTTCAACCCTAGCATGTTCCCAGTGCTTCGGTGCTGCAATGCCCAAGGTTCCTGGATATGTCAGCGAACGATTTCTTCCATCAACGAAAGATCTGACTCTGCTTTGGGGCTCTAGATTTCTTCATGAAATAACATGGGTCCAAATTAAATGAGATTTAAGGTGCAAGAAAGAAAAATTGATGACTTTCAACATTATTCTATTTGAAAAGTGCAGACCACATTTTGTAGATATATTTGAAAGTTTTAAATTACAAAAATTCCTATACATTTTCAATCTTTCAGGTAAAAAATTGTAATTTTCCCTTAATTTTTTATAAATCCTCTAGTTTATTAGATCCTTAGTTATTTGGAGTATTGGTGTATAAGAAGCATGACCCAAGATTTATTAGTATGGTATTCATATCATCATATCATACATGGCATAGAGTTATGAGGTGGTGGTTGTTGGCTTGCATCATATACCATGTACTCAAAATGTGGTGATAATTTTGTATCAAAGTTAAGAAAATCACAAGAGAAATTAAATAGCCCAAATGCTTTATGCATCTTCTCTAACAAGCTCTTGCTTAAGAGGAGTTAATTGAGGAGGATTTACATTTAATTCAAAATCTTCTTTGATCTCCCATTCAATTCTTCCACTTCACAAGCAATCAAAGTTATTTCAACCACTTTACTTTTTGGAATCACTGAGTAGCCTTTAATATCATATGCACTACATAGCTAAGTAGCTATACTTTCAAAAACCACATCAATGTTGATTCCTAATGGCTTGTCAACACTATCTATTTGACTCACCACATGATCATACATGAATGGAAGACCCTCTATGCATTCATGTGTATTTGAAAAATGGTCAATAATCATCTATAGTGTGCAATTCATAAATCAGCTCCAAGTTTTAAAACTAAGTCAAGGGTGAGAACATAAAAAAGACTTTTTAGGATGTTCAGCCAAAACCTAAATTTTAAAAAATGATTTTTAATTTTTTTTGAAGTAGATATATGCAACATTACATTCCAAATTTATTTAGATTTTAAAAATTATAAAGGATCTAATAAAAAATTAAAATTTAGATTCACTGTAAACTACTAAAAAATGTCTATTTTTTGGCCCACCCTTTCATGCTTTGACCCCCAAATGAATTCAAACAGAAAAAAATAATTTAAATGAAGTGAAACAAGAACAAAAAAAGTCAAATGAGAAGAAAAAAAATTAAATAAAGATAAATATAAACATATAGTGCCTCACAATTGGAATATAAATTGTTTAAAGTTCCAAAATATTTGACAATATTTTTAATGAAATAGGCTTATAGTGTTGACCTTCCATGTCTTAACAAGTGTCCTAAGGATAAATTTACTCAATCACTTAAAAAGTAGGTTTTCAATTTAGATATACTCAATTTATAATTCAACACATCATGATTATTATTCATAAGCCCCATATATTTGTATTAAAATCCTTTTGGCATTATCCACTTTGGATAGCTTCCTCTGGTTTTACCTTTAAATAATTTTTAACTTTAAATAATACCTATTATCTATTATTATTTATGAATTTATGCCTTTAGGCCTTATATAATGTTTTTATGATATTAAATATTATTTTCTTGGTAATTTAGGTTTTTATTTTGTAACATATGTGATCATAAGATAATATTTAAATATACTGTCATTGTGAATATTTGAAACCTCAAAGGATAAATGAGGATAAATAGTTATTAAGGGTTTTTTCATTAAACAATTACCCCTTTTCCAGTTGGATTCAGGGGAAAGAGATAGGGTGCGTTACATATAATATCAAAATAAATGACATGATTTTAATTTTTATTGATTAATAATTTTTTAAATATAATATACCCTTAAATAAGATATTGTTTTAATTGAAATTGTATATATTGGGTACCCATAAGTATGTCCTTCATAGTGTATGTGATTATTGGATACTATCATCAAGTAATTGAGTTATCATATCTTACAATTCATTATTGGTATTTCCATATTGTCATCCATACAAATAAAATCTTTTATAAAATCACTATTATGACTTATAAATTAATAATTATATTTTACAATTCTAGGAGGAAATGCATATGATGGACAAACAACATCTTCAACAACATTTAAAATTGAAGAACTTATAAATAAAATCATGTTGATATATTATACTAATGCTTTGAGATCTAAATATATAAATTTCACATAAATATTTTTACCTGAAATCATGTCCAAAAGATTTTTTTTTAAAAAAAAAAATAGATTAAGAGAATTATAAAATATATTAAAATAGATATTCTTTGTAAGTTTTTGATTTTATTTGTAGTATATTCTTTTGAATGGCTTTGATTTTATTGTAAAATGCTTTGTTAGAGAAAAAAAAAACCAAATACATCTGTTAAAAATTAACATTAACAAGATATAGAGACTTATATAAATGTAACACCCTTGACAAAACAAGAAACCATCAAACAACATTGGATGTTGCTCAAATTCAAGGGCAACCTTGAAGCCACAAAACAAGTAATTTATTAGTGTCTTCCTTCCAGCCCTAGTCCTTATATAACATTCCCAATGTGGTTGTGTGAGTTGAATATCATTCCTTACCTCATCTAGATCCCTCTCCTGATGAAGAATCAAGAATTATCATTAACACCAGATGAGAATTCACTAAACCTATTGCTCAAGAAAAAGAACATTACTTGCCTGTTCTGTGACTATGGTAAATCGGGTCATTGATCCTGACACTTGTAAAGGCAGGAGTGTCTATCCAAGAATGGAGGGAGGTTTCTCAATTTGCCGCCTCCCGTTAAGCCTCCCGTTAAACACCAATTGAGAAACCTCCCTCCATTCTTGGATAGACACTCCTGCTCTACTGACAAGGCCATGAATCTAATTATGTAGGGGCCCCTTCTGGTGTGATAATGACAGATAGAAGATTTACTGATTGACAAGGAATGAGTGAGCCAAATGCAATTATTTCTTAGAACTATTTTTCACTTTCATACTTCACTGTCTGACTGCGTTTCTCTTCGTATGGCACTAGAAAAAAGTGAATACTCTTTGGACAGGGTTCACTATCAAGCAGTACCTTTCCTTCAAAGGCGTTTGACACTGAGATTTACTAACCTGACCAATCATTTTTACATATTCCCGTTTGCATTTCGAGAGAATCTGGACTGGACTCGGTCTTCTTCCACCGAGCCGAGCTCCACTCTTTCAGGGATTTTAGATCACTCTTCATCAGAGAATCCCTGATGCTGCACTAGTCAGCGTTAATATACACTAGAATAGAAAGAACTTAAAGAAGGAACAAATGAGAAACTTACCGCAGTTTAGCCCGCTTGCTTGTTCTGCGGCCTCCAGGTGCTCATCGCATAGAGGACCCTCTCTTTCCATCCGAGTAGCAACCAGTTCCCATCCATCCCCATCTTGAAGTTGCAATTGGGCTTACTGCTGCACCACGCTGCCTTAACCAGCTCCACCGCTGTCGGCCTAACTGGTTCCTGCTCAAATCCAGCTCGTCTAGCCCTCGAATCCCAGCTCCTGTAAGAATTTGGCCGCTCCAACCTTTCAACGCCCTCCATAGCCACCATGTTCATGATCGTCTTTGCCATGATGTTCCCTATGAAATCATACTCCTCCGGCATGTCCTCTTGCAGCAGAGTCTGAAACAGGTCCATCTTCGTGAAGAAACTCTCGAGAGCCCCCTCGAAACGTTGGATGAAGAAAGGGGAGCTCAAGTTGGAGCCGGCATCCCACACGCACTGTATGAACAGGTCCGGCTTGAGGCTGTAGACCTTCTCGAAGAAGAGCTTCCGCGGATTGTCGCCGACGCTGCCATCTTCTCGCAAATGCCGGAGGCGGAGGTTGCAGTTGACGATGAGCAAGTCATTCACGTGAGTCTTGGGCTGGACCAATTCCCAGGACGTGCTCGTGATCACCTCAAACTCGAGCGAGATTCCACAGCTCTTGGCATACTCCACGAGGTTTCTCTCTGTCTCCTTGACGTCCACGCGAGGAAAGTCGATCCCTGTGATCTTCATCGCCGGCGGTCCCTCTGGCCGCTGCGAGAGCCTCTGGATGAGCTGGGGCCACTGGCAGCCATAGTGGATCCCATAGTCGATGATGTGAATTCTCGTAGCTCCTTGGCAAAAGTCTAGAATGGTGCCGTTGGCAAATCGCTGGGTGACCCTGAAGGATGGGAGATTGAGCAGCCGGACGTGGACCGAGTGCCTCTCGCGAATCCCTTTCACCATGGCGCTGTAGACCTGAGACCCAAACCCTGTGAAGCGCGCAATCAAGGCATCCGCGAAGAACAAGGCCGTGCGTTCTTCACTGCTGCCCTCTGGCGATGCCAGGCTCCTCACCTCGCTGATGATCCTGTACACCTCGGAGCCACGATTCCCCGCCACCGCTCGAGCCGCTTCCAGGAGCATCGATTTCAGGAACCCCGTCCTGGATTCGTGGACGTCTGGCACCGAAATATTTCCAGAATCGTCTGGATGGATGAGATTCCCACTGCCGCCGGGCGAAGACACCAGAGCGGCGAGCTCCGCGATGAGATTCTTGTAGGCATCCTGGAGCTGGATCATCTGCGGCGGCTCCTCCTCCTCCTCCTCCTCCTCGTCCAGAAGCATCCGGGAAATGTAAGCGAGCGTGGGATCGTTGGGATCCTCGACGTGCTGGCGCTGCGGCACTGGATCGAGACGAACCTGGTGGTGGAGGAGCACGGCGCGCAGCTTGGAGACGAGGTCGGCGCTCATCGCTGGGGATAGAGACAATATCAAAATGCCGCGCCCTAGATTTCTTCGGCCCACCAGGATTATGAAATTAGGGCAAAGAGCTCTGCGATGCTCTGTTTTTGGGCGCCAGGCTCCGCCACGATTTCCACTACTTTGAAGCTCGCATCGTCGCAATCGATCGACTCCACGGCAACGTCAGCGACAAGATCTCGCGAAATCGATCCGGACGAGAGCGTATCCTGCGATCAAATCGTCAATTTTCTCAAAGAATCAGAGGAGAACAATGCCTTGCCTGCTTTGCCATGACGATCTTCTTGTTTCCATCCGGTTTCTCCTCCGAGAGGCCCCCAGGCCGGATGATCGTGTAGTTGATCCCAGAGCTTCTCACATAGTTCTCGGCCTGGAGCTTGGCGATGAGCGTGAGACCAAACGCATTGAGCACCAGATAGGCTGGATTGAGCGCCTGCCCCCACGCGGCGCCATTCACGAGAATGGAGCTTATGAGCACGAATCTCTTGATCCCATTCTTGCGGCACGCTTCCACGAGGTTTAGGGTTCCTCGATAGTCCACCTGAGGAGAAAGAATGTATGATTGATCCAGTCGAGATCCTGAAACAATCTACCTTCCAGGGAGCCAGGACATCGAGAGAGTAGCGAAATCCAGTAGCGCAAATCACCGCATCCGCGTCTCCAATCGAAGTTGTCAGTGGATTTGTCCCTTGGGTCACGTCAGCCGGGATCTGAGACAAGGAAGAACAAACGAGGCGAGCTTTGGCTATGGCGGAGAAATGGAGTGGAAGAAAGAAATGGATAAAGATCTCACACAATTTCAATGTTGGGGCTGCTGGGTAGATTGCAGGGTTTGGGCCACAGGTATACAGTGCCATGGTGAAAGGGATCCGAGAGAGGCACTCTGTCCACGTCCGGCTGCTCAATCTCCCATCCTTCAGGGTCACCCAGCGATATGCCGCTTGCAACATCTTCAACGTTTGCCAGGGCACGAAGAGAATTCACATCGTAGGACTTGCTCATCGTGAATTGCAACCTCCGCCTCCGGCATTTGCGAGAAGATGGCAGTGTCGGGAATAATCCGCGGAAGCTCTTCTTCGAAAGAGTTTACAGCCTCAAGCCGGACCTGTTCATACAGTGCGTGTTGGATGCCACCTCCAACTTGAGCTCTCCTTTCTTCATCCAACGTTTCGAGGGGGCGCTCGATACGCTTTTCACGAGGATGGAGCTGTTCGAGACGCTGCTCCTGCAAGAGGACATGCCGGAGGAGTATGATTTCATGGGGAACATCATTGCAAAGGCGATCATGGACGTGGTGGCTCTGGAAGGCGTTGAAAGGATTGAGCGGCCAAATTCTTACAGGAGCTGGGACTCGAGGGCTAGAAGAGCTGGATTTGAGCTGCTGCCGGTTCGACCGGAAACGATCGAGGTGGTGAAGGACGTGTGGTGCAGCAGCAGCAGCAAGCTAAACAACAACTTCAAGCTGGGCGTGGATGGGCACTGGCTGCTGCTCGGATGGAAGGAGAGTATCGTCTTTGCGATGAGCGCCTGGAGGACGAGCAAGTAGAAACTCTGGTCAGCTTTTCCAAAGTTCCTTTTCTAGCATAGATGACGCTGTCTGTTATTTAGAGTAGACACGGAGATTGGAGCTACAAGGGCTGCAGCGGGAACAATCTCCACTTGCGGTGGTTGCCAACTTTGTGCTCTTCTGCGGCTTGCTCGAGCATGAAGAGCTCCGCGTTGTCGGACAATGCCCTCTCGGAGCTCTCACCAAGACCAGGGACAGTGACAACGATCGCACGACGCCGCCGCTCATGCACAGGATCACTCCAAAGTTCAGCTTTTGGTCAAGAACACGGCTGCTAGATTCTCTGCCCGATCACTTCCGAGAGGTTCTTGCTGCCGCTTCCTCAAAGTGGATTGGGATCCAAGTTTTGCTTTCTATTACTTTTTGGCTTTATTTCATGGATGTTGAAGGTTTTTAAGTAATAGTTTTCATAGATTGGGCTTCACCAGCTAAATGATTCACTCCAATAAATGAACTAACTTAGCTTGTTTCTATCTATAAGCCTAAATTTGGATTTACTAAAGAAGATAAATAAGCATCATACCAATTAAATTATTGGAAAGGAAAGTAAATTAGAGTTGATATTGATTTTTATGAGGCGTGACTAAATGTGCAATGCTTTCATGATGTATGCCCAAATATGTGTATGGGTGGGATGATGACATTGCAAGCTTCAGTAAACCTAGACAAAATTAATGCTATATGTTTACCTATGACATCAAAGCAATGCTGAGCATGTCTGGTTGAGACAAGGGCTCTAACTATTGATGTAATCTAAGAACTGAATGCTGATCCTTTTGAAGAGATCAAAGAAGGATTCAAACCAAGTGCGAATACTCTTCAGTTGGCTCCTCTTGAACAAGAACTAGTCAAGGAAGATGCTATTTAACAAAGAGTATAGTGATTAATGCCCAATATAAAATATATATTATTTATTATTATTTGTATTAGATGCCTACACTGCTTTCTGTGTGTTACTCTTGTATAACACTAGATTGCCATCATTCTGCATCACTAATATTGATGAAATCAATCTGCTTTCCATAGTATTTGTTGCCCAAACACAAACACTCTCATTCTCAAGCACACCATTCCCATCCATTTGCAATGCAAAGTAGCAACCAGTTTGGCTAGTTTCTCTCACATCTGCCTTCCACAAGACACCACTTGCCTTTTTGACCACCATGTCACACCCATACTGCACCTCCAGTGAGTACCACCCATTTTGAGACTCCAACTTTGACCCAGCATTGACCCTTGAGTAGACTCGTGACTTTGGTCCACTCTGGATCATGTTGACATATGGGAAACATGACCCAAGATCGTATAGCATAGAGCTCTGACGTGAGTCTTGCTGAGTTGCCTCGTCAAGCACATACTCCATCCCAAATCTTCCATTAATGATTGTAATATAGTTTGCTCCTGTTGCATACAAGTTGTTCAACATTATATGTATGAGGTTCTGAAATGCAAAGACAAGTTGGTAGCGTCTAAGGGTGTCGTCATGTGTTGGTGTGGCCTCACAGGTGTTGCTGTAAAAGGAGACACGGAGGAGGCACTGCTGGCTGCCAACTGAAACAGCCCTAGCAAATATACCAGGTGAGACTGGGCCGCCTGGGATGTTCGTCACCAAGCTCGCAAGGCCGCCTATGATGATTGGAAAGTATTCACGACGTATTCTCCCTCCTATGCCTGGATCAACAATTATTTGAGGGCTCGAGTGAGAGATGCTACTCAATAGGGTCACCAACAACAAGATCAACATGATAATAGATCAAACCTTTCTATCTTATCTGTATAAGTAAAGTTTAAGTCCGCCATAATGTTGACTTTTGCATACAGATTAAAATTTAAAATTTTGTCCATATTCTTGATACTGAATATTCACACCTCGGTACTTGAAAATAATTTTACCCTCAAAATATTGAAAATTGGAAGTTTCATGAAGTTTTAAGGAGTTTTTATATAGATGAATTCCAATAATGATTAACACATTCACACTTGCAATATACAATATAAAATTATACAACAAAGCTATGTGGGAAGCTAGAATCAAGTGGTACAATATCACAGAAAAAACAATTATAGAAAACTTAATAAACTCACTCAAAAGCTATGTAAAATTTGTAAATATATGCCCAAATGAAAGTTATATAGACCTAAAATTGGGTTTTGAGAAAGCCCTCCATAGATCTTGTGTATAAAAAGGTTTATGCTGCTCAAAAAATTCTAAAGAGATTTAGAAAAGATATATTAGTATAGATAAGAAAATATCAAACTGGTGAAGTTATGAATTTATACTAAGCCTTCAAACACATGTGTTACCAAAGAAAATTTATTACATATCCCAATTTGAGAGTCAAACTTTGTAATTCTTGTAGTCAACTTGTAAAGCACCCAAGATTTATATTTCCCAAGTTAAATGAGATTTAAGGTGCAAGATAGAAAAATAAACAACTTTCAACATTATTCTATTTGAAAAGTGTGGACCACATTTTTGTAGATATATTTGAATGTTTTAAATTACAAAATTTCCTATACATTTTCAATCTTTTAGGTGTAATTTTCCCTTAATTTTTTATTAAATCCTCTAGTTTATTAGATCCTTAGTTATTTGGAGTATTGGTGTATAAGAAGCATGATCCAAGATTTATTAGTATGGTATTCATATTATATATGATATTGAGTTATGAGGTGGTTGTTGTTAACTTGCCTCGTATAGCATGTGCTCAAAATGTGGTGATAATTCTGTATCAAATAGAAGATTTACTGATTGCAAACCTACAAGGAATGAGTGAGCCAAATGCAATTATTTCTTAGAACTATTTTTCACTTTCATACTTCACTGTCTGACTGCGTTTCTCTTCGTATGGCACTAGAAAAAAGTGAATACTCTTTGGATTGGGTTCACTATCAAGCGATACCTTTCCTTCAAAGGCGTTTGACACTAAACCTGACCAATCATTTTTACATATTCCCGTTTGCATTTCAAGAGAATCTGGACTGGACTCGGTCTTCTTCCATCGAGCCGAGCTCCACTCTTGATGCTGCACTAGTCAGCGTTAACATACACTAGAATAGAAAGAACTTAAAGAAGGAACAAATGAGAAACTTACCGCAGTTTAGCCAGCTTGCTTGTTCTGCGGCCTCCAGGTGCTCATCGCATAGAGGACCCTCTCTTTCCATCCGAGTAGCAACCAGTTCCCATCCATCCCCATCTTGAAGTTGCAATTGGGCTTACTGCTGCACCACGCTGCCTTAACCAGCTCCACCGCTTTCGGCCTAACTGGTTGCTGCTCAAATCCAGCTCGTCTAGCCCTCGAATCCCAGCTCCTGTAAGAATTTGGCCGCTCCAGCCTTTCAACGCCCTCCATAGCCACCATGTTCATGATCGTCTTTGCCATGATGTTCCCTATGAAATCATACTCCTCCGGCATGTCCTCTTGCAGAAGAGTCTGAAACAGGTCCATCTTCGTGAAGACACTCTCGAGAGCCCCCTCGAAACGTTGGATAAAGAAAGGGGAGCTCAAGTTGGAGCTGGCATCCATCACGCACTGTATGAACAAGTCCGGCTTGAGGCTGTAAACTCTTTCGAAGAAGAGCTTCCGCGGATTGTCGCCGACGCTGCCATCTTCTCGCAAATGCCGGAGGCGGAAGTTGCAGTTGACGATGAGCAAGTCATTCACGTGAGTCTTGGGCTGGACCAATTCCCAGGACGTGCTCGTGATCACCTCAAACTCGAGCGAGATTCCACAGCTCTTGGCATACTCCACGAGGTTTCTCTCTGTCTCCTTGACGTCCACGCGAGGAAAGTCGATCCCTGTGATCTTCATCGCCGGCGGTCCCTCTGGTCGCTGCGAGAGCCTCTGGATGAGCTGGGGCCACTGGCAGCCATAGTGGATCCCATAGTCGACGATGTGAATTCTCGTAGCTCCTTGGCAAAAGTCTAGAATGGTGCCGTTGGCAAATCGCTGGGTGACCCTGAAGGATGGGAGATTGAGCAGCCGGACGTGGACAGAGTGCCTCTCTCGGATCCCCTTCACCATGGCACTGTATACCTGTGGCCCAAACCCTGTGAAGCGCGCAATCAAGGCATCCGCGAAGAACAAGGCCGTGCGTTCTTCACTGCTGCCCCCTGGCGATGCCAGGCTCCTCACCTCGCTGATGATCCTGTAGACCTCGGAGCCACGATTCCCCGCCACCGCTCGAGCCGCTTCCAGGAGCATCGATTTCAGGAACCCCGTCCTGGATTCGTGGACGTCTGGCACCGAAATATTTCCACAATCGTCTGGATGGATGAGATTCCCACTGCCGCCGGGCGAAGACACCAGAGCGGCGAGCTCCGCGATGAGATTCTTGTAGGGATCCTGGAGCTGGATCATCTGCGGCGGCTCCTCCTCCTCCTCCTCCTCCTCGTCCAGAAGCATCCGGGAAATGTAAGCGAGCGTGGGATCGTTGGGATCCTCGACGTGCTGGCGCTGCGGCACTGGATCGAGACGAACCTGGTGGTGGAGAAGCGCCGCGCGCAGCTTGGACACTAGATCGGCGCTCATCGCTTAGAGACAATATCAAGATGCCGCGCCCTAGATTTCTTCGGCCGGCCCACCAGGATTATGAAATTAGGGCAAAGAGCTCTGCGATGCTCTGTTTTTGGGCGCCAGGCTCCGCCACGATTTCCACTACTTTGAAGCTCGCATCGTCGCAATCGATCGACTCCACAGCAACGTCAGCGACAAGATCTCGCGAAATCGATCCGGACGAGAGCGTATCCTGCGATCAAATCGTCAATTTCTCAAAGAATCAAAGGAGAGAAATGCCTTGCCTGCTTTGCCATGACGATCTTCTTGTTTCCATCCGGTTTCTCCTCCGAGAGGCCCCCAGGCCGGATGATCGTGTAGTTGATCCCAGAGCTTCTCACATAGTTCTCGGCCTGGAGCTTGGCGATGAGCGTGAGACCAAACGCATTGAGCACCAGATAGGCTGGATTGAGCGCCTGCCCCCACGCGGCGCCATTCACGAGAATGGAGCTTATGAGCACGAATCTCTTGATCCCATTCTTGCGGCACGCTTCCACGAGGTTTAGGGTTCCTCGATAGTCCACCTGAGGAGAAAGAATGTATGATCGATCGAGTCGAGATCCGGAAAGAATCTACCTTCCAGGGAGCCAGGACATCGAGAGAGTAGCGAAATCCAGTAGCGCAAATCACCGCATCCGCGTCTCCAATCGAAGTTGCCAGTGGATTTGTCCCTTGGGTCACGTCAGCCGGGATCTGAGACAAGGAAGAACAAACGAGGCGAGCTTTGGCTATGGCGGAGAAATGGAGTGGAAGAAAGAAATGGATGAAGATCTCACACAATTTCGATGTTGGGGCTGCTGGGTAGATTGGACCGAGCCTTGGCAACATCCAGGACACCGGCGCGGACCTTGAATCCATCCGCTAGCAGCTTGCTCACGATGCGCTTCCCGGTTTTGCCATTCGCGCCGGCGACGAACACTGTCTTGGGCTTCGTCTCCTCTGCGGAAGATCGAGGGCATGCGACGCGATCCTTGTTCGCCTGCCCAAAGAAAAACCACAGTGGTGAGCTAGGCATCGATCGCAGAGGGCTAATACCCGGCGAGGCGAATTTCCAAGGATTCTAGGCGCGAATGCAAATGGGTGGCGCTCGATTCTTCGATTGGGCGCCAGGAACCGCGAATTCAAGGCGTGGACAAGAGCCATAAGAGCAAAGGAGCTCCCTGTTCTTCGCTAGGGTTTGATGATCATGGCAAAGACACCGAATTTCCCTTTCCGTGTTCGATCCTACGACGTCCACGTCTATTTCTTCCAGACGGATCAGGCCCAGCTGCGCCAGGCCAGGGAGCTCCAGGACGAGATACGCGGCAAATTCCCCCAATTCAAGATCAAGGTGTGGGACAAGCCAATTGGCCCTCATGGAATTGGGAATTTCGAGGTAAATCTCATGAAGCACGAAGATTTCGTGGAGTTTGTGACCTGGATCCCTCTCAACCGGCGGAATTTCTCGGTGTTGATCCATCCCAACACTGGAAACCCTCTGCGAGATCACACGGCGCATGCGATGTGGATCGGCGAGAAGCAGGTACTCAATCTGAGTGTGCTCACGGAAGACGACGATGGCTATGGCTACTTCTCATAAACCCTAAAACAGAGCTCTTCATACGCATTGTAGGGTTCTTAGTGGCTACTATGGCGTTTTCTCTATCAATATCTCCATTTTGCGCTCAAATTCCAGCGTTGCGAGCGAAAAGAATCAAATCGCGTTCATTGGGTTCTATCAAATCAAGCTCACGGCCAGAAATTCCAGCGCAAAAGGAGATCTTCAAGCCCACAGCGCTGTATCTAGCAGCAGCGCTTGGAATTGGCTATGGTGTTCTTTCCCACACGCATCCAGACGCCGCGCACGCAGCGATCGATCTTCACGGCTCCACAGATGGGAGAAATTTGGGAGATTTGGCGATGGGGCCGGAGGGGCCATTGCTGGAGGAATTCTGGGATAACATGAGGAGATATGGGATCTATTTCTTGACGGTGGCGACTGGAGGGCTCTATTCCATCTTCAAGCCCATCTTTGATCTTCTCAGCAATCCAGTGACTGGAGTTTTAGCGGTGATTGTGATCGTGGGCGGGCTCTATCTCGTCTATCTCACGCTCAGTGCCATGCTTGGCGTCTCGGATTATCCATATTAAATCTTTTGTTTTTTTAAATGTTTAAATCTTTCGCGCCAATGTCGACGGCTGAGATCTTTTGTCTGCCCTAACTGGGATTTAGGGCTCGTGGGCATGGCGGAGCAAGTGCTACGCGACATGAATCTCAGCTCCGATGTTAGTCTTCGCCGATCGAGCAAGGCCCTGGGCTGGAAATCACTGTGGCTTTGATTTCTCTACAGGAATTCTCGAGGCTGAAGACATGTATGAAAGATCCCAAGTTTATGGAGCTCTTGAGCGAGTATGCGAAGGAGATCTCGCAGCCTGGCAGCAAGGAAGTAAGTTGACATGGATTTTCTTTTTCTTGCAGCTTAGAGAAAATGGCTGTGTTTGCCAGGAAGCTGAGGCATACCTCAAAATGGCCGAAGAGCGCAGCAGTTTTTCAATGGAAGGAAAGGACTTGATCATACCGGTTGCTGGATTTTGTGTCAAAACGAAGAACAAGAAGAACAATAAGAAGGTTGCGTTTCTTCTTTTCCTTTCTTTTGTTGGTCGCTATAGTTTTCCTTCTCAGGTTTTCATCAACATATGCCATACAACCAACATTGACAAACCGACTTCTTTCACTCATTCTGGAAAAGGCGAACAGTGGTCGATCCCTTACAGCTTGGGTCCTGCACGAAACGACGTGGATAAAGGTTTGCTTGCTCGAATTTTCTTTTCTCCTTTGTTGTTGAAGCGTATGTTTTCTCTCAGCCGGCGGGGAGTGTGAGGTTTATGATTTTGTAGTGAACGAAGAAGCTCATGAGCGTGCCATGAAAAACAATCGGTTTAAGCGGTTTCTAGCAGAGACAGCAATTGAGAACATTCAAAAACAACGGGGCGTAGAGCTTAGTGAAGGTAGACCAGATAAGTGTTTCTATATTCTTTCTTATTCTAACCTCCATTCCCAGAATTTATCCTGCCCAAGCTGAAGTATAAAGGACATTCTGGAAATCCTAAGATGCAAACAGTTCGCAAGACATCGGCAAGTGAGCAAGCAAACACAGAAAAAGAGGTTTCTTCCAAGTCAAGAGCAGGAGAGAAACCTTCAAGTGATTCAGTGCCAGACGTGAAGGAACTTGCCTCCAAAGAAGTGAAGCCTTCTTACGAATTCATCTACCGAGATGATTTGGACCTTGGGAAATTCTGGTATGTTTGTAACTCCTGGCTGCTATTCCGAAGGTACTTACAATGCTTTCAGAGAAAAAAATGTGCGTTTTTTCAGGACAGATAAGGCTGTTCTACCAAATGGCAATCAAAAACCGAAGATGATTGTGTTGCGAGTTGACTTGCCAGAAGTGGTAAGCATCTCTTTATTCAGCATTGATAAGCTTTACCATGTATCGTTGGTCTCCAGCAAACTTCGAGCGAGGTGGAGCTGGAGGTGACGAATTCCGATGTCTCTTTGTACGTCCCTGAAAAGTATAAGCTCAAGGTAAGCTTTTCGTGTTCATGTTGGCTTTGAATAAGATGAGAGTTTAGCACGCAGGTACAAACGGCACACCCTGTGGATTTCAAGAATGCGAGAGCACAGTTCGACAGAAACAGACGAAGGCTAGAAGTTGTCATGCCAACCTGTTAACTTCTTCCTCCTTAAATGAACACGAAAATCTTCTAAGGTCTGATGACATCTGTTTCCAGATTTTTGTTCTCTCCATTTTCTCTAATCTGAATATTAGGAGGAACAACTGATTCTTCCGTAGGGCAATGGCTATGGCGCTCTTCGTGCCTTGTGGATTCCTCACTACTAGTAGAGTTTCCTGGAGAACGCCCCAGCCGTCTAAAGGTGCCCAGTTACATACAGGACTAGGCAGGCTAAAGAACTCTCGGACTGTTTGGAAATGCGCCGTCGAAGGCTCGAGCAGTGTAGTTAGTGAAGATTTGGCTAGCAGCATTTCTTCGTTAGATGAAGAAAAGGGAAATGAAGAGAAAGGAAACGAAGAAGGCGAAGGTGCTCAGGTAGATGGACGAGTTCTGGAAGGTGCAGATTTGGCCTCCATTGTGGAGTGGCAGCTCGACTTTTGCTCACGGCCTATCTTCGATGATCGGGGGAAGAGGATGTGGGAATTGATTATTTGTGACGCAAAGAGGCAGCTGGAATTCGCAAGGTTCTATCCCAGTAATGTTATCAACAGCACAACGTTAAAGAATGCCATAGCGGAAGTTATAGAGACCTTTGATTTACCACGGCCTACGAGAGTTCGCTACTTCAGGTATTAGTTCATTTCTATTTTCTTGCGCGGCTTTTTATGTAATTCATGCAGATCTCAAGTGAAAACTATAATCTCAAAGGCTTGTGGAGAGCTCGGCATCCAAGTGACTTCGAGCCAGAGGGTATGTAAAGTTTTTTTATCTAGGTGTGTATCTTCATGCATTACTTTGCAGTGCACAGCTCTTGTAAGATGGCTGCACGAGCGCTACGATCAAGTCTACCGCCAACATCCAGGATTTCAGGAGAATGCTCCGAGTATACTGTCAATGGGTGTAAACGTTCCTAAAGAAGTCCCTCCAAACTATCGAGGCGAGAAGTGGGCGTTTGTTCAGCTTTCATTCCAAGGTGAAGTTCTGGTGTCTTTGTTCGTAACTAGAGCTGAGCTATGTCATTTGCTTGCAGCGCTTCAAGAAGAAATTAAACTGGTGGAAAAAGGCTCCAACTTTGGAGAGGTCTCGCTTGACATGCTTACGGAGCTTCCTTCTCCTGACACTCTAATACCAGGCGTTGCTGTTGCATCCTCGAGAGATCTAGCTCTAGCTGGTAAGTGCTCTATACAAACTTCCCAAGAAGAAAAATGACTTTTTTCCCACAGCCTGGACGAATTCCTTGGAGCTTGCGTCTCTCTCCGTGGACAAGAAAAACTCGGCCTTGGTCCTGTTATCTGGAGCTTCTCGGCAATGGTTCTACTCTTACTACAAGAAAAGCAAGCAGGCCGACGAGGAAGCCGACTTATGGGAGTCTGCAAAAAAAGCTGCGGGAGGATTGCATTTTCTTGCAATCCAGCCTTCCCTGGAGTCCAACTCTTGCTCGGGCCTGTGGATTTTATACGACTTCCCGGCACCCCCTGTGTAGATTTACCGAGTAAAAATCAATTAGAGGTACGCATTTCCAGGATATTGCACGATCATATTTACATTACGTGGTAAAAATATGTTTTTTTTTTCTTTCGTTCTTGCAGCTCCTGAAGAACTGTATGAAACAAGAACTCGGGAGAAGGGATTTCCAGGAGCTGTATACACAAGAAACACTCCTCGATTTTCCATTGAAGTTCGGTGAGTTTATATACTTCAGTTCTCTCTAGAATTGAGGATCATAACCATTGCTTGAAGTTGCCAGGATCCAGTAGGCAATAATATGACCAATGGATCCCCAGGAGAGCACATCGACGATGTTAAAGCCAGCGGGATCGTTCGTCTTGAGCAAGCTCACAAACTCCTGAGCCCGGGTGTCTCCGGCCTCGTAGTGACTTACACCGTTTTGGAGCGGCAACCCGGCCTTGGCAATCTGCTCTCTCTGGAAAGGAAGGAACACAAACCGTCCCATGGCGAGCGACGCAGCAGTGCACAGGCTGATGATGATCGGCGCCTCCAGGCAGGTGGTCCGAGCCATAGATCTCGCGAAGCCCGTCTTGCTCTCGAAACTGGAGCACCGAGCTGCTGCTGAGAGGCCGTCGAGCTTGTTGGCGACTCGGAATCCAGAGAAACCGACCACAGATCTCTTGCTGCTCGAGCTCTTGATGCTGGGAAGCCCCGCGACGATGCAGGAAGAAGACGCTGCTGCGCAAGTAGAAGCCATGGATCCTCTTCCTCTGGAGAAAATCTCCAAGCTCTCGCGAAGAACAAAAATCTGGAGTTTTGGACGAGAAGATGAGGAAGAGCTCTGGAACTCTAGCTACAGTGACAAGGGAAAGTAGTCACTACTGGGATTTGATTAAGCTGCTAAGCTAAGCGAGATAGTCAGCTTAGCAACCCAGTGGTGTGGGTGGTGCAATCCAAAATGGTGGCCTCCCATTGGCTAGCGCCATATCGCCAAGGAAGAGATCTGAAGCGTCCAGGTGCGGGGAGATCGTGACCGGTGGATTTGTAAATGGCGTGGCGCGGTAATATTCGTCTTGGTCAGCTTGTTTGTCAACTCTCGGTCAATATGGTCAATGTCGTTGGTCCATTGGAGAACACGCGTTGGCCTCCCATTGGGCAGCGCCATATCCCCTGACAGGAAAGAGATCTGGAGCGTCCAGGTTCGAGGAGATCGTGACCGGTAGTTTGAATAGTGGCGGGCTAACCGGCTATAGGTGGCTAGGCATAGCGAGGTAAACGCGTCAGAAAAGTAGGGTAAACGTGGGAAAAGATCGTGGCCCATGTCATTGGCACATTTTGGAGGTCAAGCTATGGCGGTTTTGGAGAGCCCTGATTTCTTGGCGCTCACGGGGAGCGTTTTGGGTATGTGATTTGGATCGACTGCTCCGGCGCTTAGATTCTCTCAGGTGCATTTTTGACCTAGATTGATCCTTGCCTGGGAAGCGCGCGGGAATGGGGCTTTTGTGAGCTTGGCGGCGCGATCTAGCGATGGAGGCAACGGAAAGACAAAGATTCGAAAGGCTTTGAGTAAGTTGGGAATTTTTTTTCTCTTTAAAGTGTACAGTGTTGAAAGCGAGCTTTTTCCTTTGTCCCTCCAGGAGCTTTCAATCATGTGTGCGGCCTTTGCAGAGGACCAGGGATCCGTCAAGTCGGAGGATTCGCTCACGGGACGCGCCAAATTCCTGTGCAGCTATGGTGGTCGAATCATGCCTCGCCCGCACGACTCCCAGCTCCGCTACGTGGGTGGTGAGACGAGAATTCTCTCGGTTCACAGGGGCGACTCGGTGATCGATCTCATGACGAAGCTCCGGAAGATCTGTCCATACGAGAGTTTTATCCTCAAGTACCAGCTGCCAAACGAAGATTTGGACGCGCTGGTCTCGGTGATCTCGGAGGAGGATCTGGAGAACATGATGGAGGAGTATGACAGGATGGAATCCAAGGATTCATCCTCGAGGCTGAGGCTCTTTCTCTTTCCGGTGTCCGTGAAGCAGCCACCGAGTCACGAGAACGCTGCCGATCCGGAGCACAAGTTCGTCGAGGCTGTGAATGGAGTTTATAGGAAGGCCAACGTGGTTTTGGAGGAGCAGCACAAAAAACCTGTGGTTTTGGTCGACAAGGCGGCGCCACCTCTAGTAGCACAGCAAAGTCCAGCCATGCCTATGGCAGGACCGCAAGTTGTAGCAGTTCCTCCTGCGGTTCTACCTCAAGTCGTCCCAGCTCCAGTCCCAGCTCCAGTTCAAGCTCCAGTTCCTCCAGCCCCGGCAGCAGCATCTCCAGCCCCAACTCCAGTTCAAGCTCTAGCTCCAGCAGCAGCATCTCCAGCCCAAGCTCTAGCTCCAGCGGCAGCGTCACCTCTGATTCCAAGCGTTGTGCCACCAGTAGTATCACCCCAGGTTTTGCCACCATCCGTTCCAGTGAACCTCGTCACAGTTCCAACCAAGAACTTGACAGCAGCCGTGACGCCCCCTCGAATTTACGCGCCCGGGACTCCCTCACTTGTTCCCGGAGCTCAGGCAGCATCACCAGTTCTGGTTCCGCAAGTAGTGGCTGCTCGATCAGTAGTGCCTCAGGTGATGGCAGCGTCGAGAGCCGTGGTGCCATCGTCGACTTACGTGCCTCTGGTGGAGGTTTCACGGGGTATACTGCCCAAGGGAATGGTGATCAGGCAGTACTCCGTGGAGGACGAGCACTCGGACTCCGTGTCGTCGCAAAGCAGCAGCCAGCTAACCGACATGAGCTCGCTGGCTATGGATCGACGAGACTCTGGGGAGAGCGCAGACGCCATGGACAGGAGAGCTTTGGACGCCACTCTCTCGGACTTCGAGAAGCTCAAGGTGGCGGAGAGGCCTCAAGAGAAGCTACTCGTTCAGCACATCCCGAGAGGCGAGCTGCTAGACGTGCACAAGACGAACGGGTTGCCTCAGCGGCTTGTTCCAATGGGACTGGAGGCTTTGGCTCGCCCTCCAGCAGTAGCCGCTGCTACTCTTGGGCATCAATTCTACGCTCCCAGCAGTGACGCTCTTCACAGGAAACTCCTGGAGCAGCACGCGATCCCTCGACCGGTGTCGACTCCAATGCTGCAACAGGCCGTGGAGATTCCAGCGGTTGCCACTGCCACTGCTCACCATCCTCAGGTACACAGGCAGTTTAGCGATCGCTCCGAGCCGCAGCACTTCCATCAGCAGCAGGAGAACAGGCCAGCTTTCGTTGGGATTGGAATGCCGGAAGTCGTGATCCAGCAGCAGCGGGATGAGAGGTTTCCAGTTCTTCATCCGGCAAATGGGCTCAACAAGCAAACGGATGTACAGCTCGTCCAAAAGGCCTATCAAGGTTTTAGCTAATCCTTTCAAGGCTCCGTAGTTTTTCCTTAATAAAATGGCTATTACTTATCAAAAGGTGGCCGTTTGAGAAAGCATGCACGTCAGCTTCCGCCACAACTGCATCTGCAATCATGGGAACTGTAACTTGGAGAGTGGCAGAAAGATCGTCAGATTTCTCAAGGATGATCCTGGTGTCCAGCTCTTGAAACTCCAGATTGATCATACAGTGGTATTTCTTTGTTGTAACCCTTTTGTTCCCCAGTTTGAGTACCAGGAGTTTCCATCAACGGAATTCCTGGACAAAACTTGCGCTGCCCACTGGCTCGCAGGAGATATGGAGAGAACTTGGTAATCTTGACAAACCTTGGTGCAAACCTAAAGATCTTGTCGCCAATGGACCTTTGAAGCTCTGGTACCGTATCCTCGAGCTTGGCTTTCTCTTGTGCACTTCCAAGTCCTTGTATGCTCCTCAGGCAATATTCCCTATGGAATACACTTATGTCATCGATCTTGACATGGCCAGCTTCACCATCAACATGTGCCACAACGCTGTGTCCTTTGACATGGGAAACATCCCATGCAACTGGATAGCCTACCCGGATGCCCCTCCGGAATGGATTGCTCTTGCCAGCAGGGATGGTCCTTCTTGGCGCCAAGTTCTGCAGGAGACGGTGGATCTAAAGTTGAGCAGCTGTGGTCATGAAGTCTGGAATATCAACTCCATGAGTGTTTTGAAAAGGTCCATTTCTTTCTGGCCAATCGTTTGGCCCTTCTTACTCTGAGTTGAGATTGCCATGCTCTTGAGGCTGCTGTATGAGGCTTTAACTGGCGCTCTAATCCATCCTGCATACGTGACCTTTCCGGCAGCAACACTTGAAGCGCGTGTGGTTTTGGCACACCATACCGTCGAAGACCTCTTGGAGCCGGACATGCAAGCGTTCTTGGAGCTTGCCAAGTTTGTGCTGGTCCTAGCCGACTGGGACAACATCAGCTTCGATACGTGTGAGACCTATTATCAAAGGCTTGGAAGCCGTTTCTCTTCGGAACTGCCTCTAGATGATGGCCTGAGCAACTGTTGGGTCACTGGAAACGCTGCAAAAGCTTCTCCCTGGGTGATTAGCATAGAGTTCTCCTCGCGATTCAGCTCAACGAGGACGCTGAGAATGCTGTCTCAATGGCTGTGGAGCATTTGAAGTCTCTGGAGTTGAGAATGGAGGAGATTTGTGTGTGCGCCTTGAGCGTCCTTGATGTTATGACTATCAAGGTTGCAAGGATTGGAGAGAGGATAACCATATCTCGCTCCCATGCACTTCCCTTGATTCGTTTGGAAAAGCCTCCTACAGTTAATGGTTTAGAAATTGGATAGGAAAAAGTCAAGCTGATTGAGCCTGGGGTCAAACTTTTGCTGAGATACTTGATGAGGTACGATCTTTCTTTATTTCTTATCATATGTGCTAATTTAAGGTGTCAAAGGATGAATCATATGGAGTTCACTATCAATGTCTTGGATGAGAGTTACTTCCGCATTCAGGAAAGCATTGGAGGTTCAACTGTTATTCTGGATCATGCTATCGCCGAGAAATCACGTACTTTTGTCAATGGCTCAAAGCCGAAGTTACTGGTATTGGCGATCTTTTCCTGTGGATGAGGTAACACAAACATGGGAAAGTGATTATGGAACCTGAAAGTTTCTTAGTTCAGAAGTTTAAAAATTAATCTGTGAGTACTTTTATCACATTTCCTACTCTAGACAATGACCTTTCAACTTTTAATTCTGGTCATGTTCATAGCAATAGAAGCTAGCAATGGCAGTTATAACAGTGGAATCGTCAGCCTATACAACCTGGCCTCTTGTTTGTGGCTCATTGCAAAGAATCCAGGAAGCACGAGATGGTTTCGGGAGCGGCGAGTGGCTGCTCCAAATCAGCTACAACGTGCCTCCAGAAGCAGCCATTGGCAATGCCAGAGGAGATGATGAATGAATTTTGAAGCATGGCTGACTAGCTGGAGGACTGGAAAAAAGGAGATATGATCCATTTAGATTTCCTCCAAGGTTATAGCCTTTTACCTCATATTATGATAAACCATACCAAGATCAGCTATTTCTCAGGATACTTAAGGACGTGCCAAACTGCAAGCCAATATTTTCTTCTATAACTCTGCATAAACATGCTAACATTGACAACTGCGTTGTGCAAGATAGCTCAATCATTGCTTATAGATAAAAATAGGAGTGAAATGTTGCAGCTAAATTGTTTCTTGTTAACATTATATTGGATAATGCTACAGTAGTTTTCTTCTTACAAGAACATGACATAGCCAACTTATTTTTCGATCATGCAAGGTTGCCTTGCATGATCGAAAATAGAAAATAAGTTGGCTATGTCATGTTCTTGTGAGAAGAAATAACCTTTTACCATAAACCAATATGTACTACAAGTTGCAAACCTGTGTTTCTTCTAATCTAACATTGACAACTGCTATGGCAATATCTAATCTGCTAGCTAGCAAAATACATAACAAAATTCTAATATAGCTATCTTTCATTCACACTTTCTCCCCCTTCACTGCAGGGCTCATCTTGTTTTGAAAGTTTGTCTTGTTGTAATGGTGTGATTGTGGTATACGAGATCTATTAAATATACCAGTGATGTATTATTAGGGCTGTAGTCTCATGCAATGCCATTCTGGGGAAGAGAATATTCCTGGCATCCAGCTTTTCTCTTCCCTTAATGAATAAGTTGTCTTAGAGAACAATTTCAAGAAATTTGAATCCAAAAGAAAATTCATTTTGTTGTTTGAGAATATAAACATTCCAAATCAATTGTCAACCAATTGATACTAAAACAATTCATTGTATTGTATCAATTGTGGACCTTAACCTTCATGAGATACCTCAAATGTGGTACCTCAATAACATTGAGAACTGCTGCTGTGCTATTTTAATATTTCCAGTGTGTAGAGGAGAGTGAAGTGTGCTCTTAAGATTTAAAATTAGTTGCAGAATTTTAATTTCTTACCAACAGCCGAATATTCCTGTACTACGATGGAGGAGGCCAGGTTAGTTGCAAGGGTTTTCAAAGCTCAAAGGCACAAAATGAATGAACTTTCAAGGGATAGAGAAAATGCCTTGCAAGTAGTAGGTGCTACAAAAAATAGTTGATTTACATAATGAAATTTTTAAAATTTTTAATTAATTTCTACCACTTTTTTAACCACTATAGTATGTAATCATCTAGAAATTCATTTCTACATGTATTTTATATTCAAAATTATAAGTGGCAGCAAGAAAAAATATGATCATAGGAATAGATATAAGATTTGTCATGGATTTTTTTACATAATCTATTCCTAATTAAATGAACTTTAAATGCTTTTATTTTCAAGATAATTAACTTTGAACATTCATTTGAGATTAGAATTCTCATCCATGGTTCATATAGAACACAAATGCTTCAAACTCAATTGTGAGTGCAAATTTCTTTTGACAAGCATTACTTCCAACCAATGCTTCTTTAAATATGCTCAAATTTATAGCAATAAATAAAATATCCATCAAGATTTTAGAAGGTAATTATACTAACATAGCAATTGAGGGCATAGAGGTCAAGATATGTATTCCATTCATCTATATTAGGTCGTGACTCATAATAGATAGTGCAACAAATTATCATAATATCAATGGAGACTTTAAAGGTCTATTTGCCTATAATATCAAGGTGGTATACAATGTTGAAGGCAATTCTTGCATGATTGTGATGCCAAGAGGTTAAGACAGTTAAGATTTGCTCTGTCTGCTAGTGCAATGGAAGAATTGCCTAAAGAGATTGAAAAAGAATTTGAAGTGTGAATCCTCTTTAGATGGCTCCTCTTGAGCAAGAGCTTGTCAAGAAAGCTGCTGTCTAGCTTAACATACCTAAGCATTTGGAATAACTGGTGCAAAAAAGATTATGTAGTTTAATTCTTAAATTTGATACAAAATTGTCACTACATTTTTTAGGCCTCTTCAATCGTATAGATGTGGAAACTATCTTACAATGCTCTACAAGACAAGCCAGCAATGGCCACCTCAGAGCTCTATTCCTTAAGATATACCATTCATGTTAATGAAAATCTTGGGTCATGTTTAGTATATGCACCATGTGTGGGATTATGATTGAACGCCTCTAAGTCAGAATTCATGTTCAGATAGAAATTAAAAGTTTGTCTATACTCATGTGACATATTCACACTTGGTACGAATCTTCTTATTGCTTTTTTATAAACCCTTCAGTGCTTTTAACTGCTATAATCTAGGAGGTAAAAAGCACCGCATCTTACACAAATGTCAGCATTACTACTGACTTAAAACACACCTCTGAACTTTATTTAAACATACAGCTAAGCAGGAAAGGTTGGATCAAATAATATTTATTATCATGTTGAACTTGTTGCTGGCCACATTATAAAGTAACATCCTTCACTTCATCTTTCAAATAATCATTGATCCATGCATAAGAGGGAGAATACCTTATGAATATTTTCCAGTCATTGCCAATTTTTAGCATACATAACTGTTGGCAAGTATGAAACGACCATTTTTTATCTCCCACTAAGTATAATGAAATGGCAAAGCCTTAAAACTTCTACCCCTTTTTATAAACTATTATATCAGAGCTCTCACAATGTTTTTGCTGGTGTTCTACCAAAAAAGCCAAATTACTTCTATCAACGCCTGTAGAGATAATAGGCATTGTTACTTGCGATAGAGTCTTTTGCCAGCCTTGCATCAAAAGGAAAATTTCCTATCGTCTCTTTTGTGATGCTCACACTGGCAGAAGAGGGCGGAGGAGGAGGAGGAGAAGAGGCTTGGACGATTCTCGTGAGATCCTCTAGGAAGCGCTGATAGAAAATCCTTGATTGCTCTGTCAATTGCTGCTGCTCATCGCCGTAGTAATCATAGTCGTCACTGAGGAGGTGGTTGCGAATGTGAGTGATTGCTGGATCTTCACTCTCGATGAGTCGTAGCTTTTGGTATCCGCGGAGGGCCTTCTGGAACTTAGAAACCAGCTTGTGATCTGCCATGGAATTAATCTATCAATCCAAACCTGATGGCTGTTATATTGTGCGTGTGTCAGAGACGAGACTTCGATTTGTTAAGCACTACTAACCGGAAGGATGCGAGGAAGGGGCGAGGATCACGATTTTGCCAGCTACAAAATGTGAAGAACTTTACAACGAAAGAAAAGAAGAAACTAGCAGTACCTGGCGAACACGCCACGGAAGGCTCAAGAGAAGAAAAAAAAAGGAGAAAACAGAAAAAAACAAAGAAAACAAAGAAGAACGTGTTTAAGACGATAATCCTGTTACTATCTGTAGTGTACGAAGGCATTTTACAAGTCGCTTGCGCAGTCAAAACGGTTCTATACAATCAAGTTCTGCCAAAACACAAGTGCTTGTAAGACCCGTTTTACAACCCGCTTGTCTTACCGGTTTATGGTCAAAGCGTGAGTTTTAAGAACTGGACAAGGAGGTAGAGCAGCGCAAGCACCAGGCCAACTTGGTAAATGTCCTTTTGGCGATTATCATCCACTTGGAAGAACTGCAAACGGCAATTTGCCAAGTCGTGAAGATCGATATAAACTATTTCTATGAGAAAAGAGAAACAACCAGACCTTCTTTGGATCGGTTGGATCGACGTAAATGCTGCTGTCATCGCCCAAGTTCTTGTCAATAACCTTGGATACCCCTTGGACTAACTCCGACGTATCCTTGCCAGCTTCGACTGTGGAGTACGCAATCCTGGAGAGCCAAAAGTATGCCTGAGCCAGAGGAGAGTTGCCGGAGAGGTCCCACTCCTCTCGGTGCTCCAGAACCTGGCCACTGATCTGGTTGAGAGTGAAAGTCGACGTTACGTTGACAAGAACATCGCCAACGAAGGAAGCAGCAGCAAGTTTTGGCCTTCCTTGTATCGTCCACTGGATTCGTAGCACGCTCGTCGACACCATCTCCATTTGACGCACTGCCTGAGGAGGCAAATGGAACCACCGCCAAAGCACCACTGCATGAATATGAAAAGCTCGCAAGCAAAGAAACCAATCACGTACGTACCACTGTTGGATTCTCCAAGGCAGTTCTCGTCCACGACGGCCTATTGTACTTCAATCGTCCTTGGAAAGACCTCAATGGATCCTAGAAAAGAGAGAAGAGATCTAACTAGTCGTGTAAAGAAAAAGAAGGAAGAGCTTACCTTGTATTTGACAAAGTAGGCCAGAGTTCCCAGAGCTCTATTCCCATCTCGAATTTCCAGGATATCTCTCGCGAGCTGACGGCACGTAGATTCCACGGAGGGGCTGCTTATGCACTGAAATTCATCGCACAGCTGGCCGAACGACATTCCATCCACGAGCTTATCGGCCGGGGAGCGCTCCAATTCCACCGGTGGGGGAGATTTTGTCGTAGATCCTTTGCTGCCGTCGCTCTCGGCCCGGATTCTCATCCCTGCGACCCAAAATCTGTCAATGTTTTGGTGAAGGGAATGGAGGCGAAGAATCGCGTACCGCATTTGAAGCTCCCGGATTTCCTGGAGGGGGCGGAGGCGGAGCTGGAGCTGCTGCTGGAGGCGAAGGAATTGGCGGATTTTGTGAGCGTCGCTGCTGCCGATAGAGCACTGCTACTTGCCATAGAAAAATCCTCAAACGATTTTCTTTCTTCTTGACCTAAAAACCCACGTATTATTTGTAAGAGAATTTGAAGTTGAGCTAGCAGTATATGATGGTGAAAAAAAAAAAATACTTACAATGATGGAATTAAAAATATGCTCAAAACATAACATGCGGATAATAACACATCAATAAAATTTTCAAAACAAGAATTCAAGCATAGTGGAATGCTCTTTTTTGTTTTCTTTGGCAATCTAAGGTAGTTTATGTGTCTAAATTAATATTGCATGCTCTAGAGTTTGATTTAGGGTCTTTTATATCCTGTTAGTGGGTGGAATATGTACTCATTGTGTTTGTGCATTAATTTTGCATAATTATTTTAATTTAGAAGTTGTCTTTTTAGCTAATGATTTTACCCAATATGGGATAAATTTATATATCCTTGGAATAAATATGTAAAGATTTCCTCATCAAATTAATTATTTTATCGGGATTTTATAGTAGATTAATGCTTATATCATGACTTTGGGTTTTGTTTTAGTTATGGTTGTTAACAACTTTATTAATGATTTTGTAAAAGTTTCAAATTCTTGTAATAGTTTATAGTTGCCTAGCAAATGCTCCAGATGTTTCACCTGACTTATTGCCATCACCTTTTTCATTTTTTGGAAGGAAAGATGGTATAAAATTTGTAAATATATACATGTATATACATGTATTACTTGGCTAGATAATATATTAATTATAATACTATAATATCCATTTGGGATTGAATTTAGTCCATCCTTTCTTGTATATAAGTAGGGATCTAAACCCTAATTAATATATCTATTCCTATATCTTGAGCACTCACATTGTAATTAAATTTATTATCTAATAATTGAAGACTAATTTTGTGTTTATAAATTACAAACAGGTTTAATTCCATTTAATCAATTGTATTAATAAATAATAGATACACTAATATTAAGAAATCAACATTAGAAAGGAAAAAATTTGCTTCACATTGCATGCAGCAACCTGTTTACTTAATAGTAGTGTCATTCTTATTTAGTATTTTTGAATAATCCAATTGATCAATAATTATAAACATGTTTATAATTTATAAATCAATATTAATATTATTGCATATTAACCATTACATGGTAAAATAAAAAAGAATATACTAGGAAGTGTTTAGGAAAGTTTATAAATTATAAGGTATTTCCACTACCATCCAAGTCCACCTACAGGTTTTTCTTAAGTAAACAAAAAATTGGTGTAAAAATAACTCATACAATTATATATTCTGTACAATAAATATTATTACTATAAAGTACATATTTACCTTTTAGGAGATATATAACTTATATCACATTTCCATTATGGTCATCTAAATGTTATTTTTCATATTATAAGAGGAGCTAATAAAGCTTCCAAAGAGGATCAATTTGAGCAAGGAAGTAATGTTTCGTTCAAATTGAAACCAAAGCTAACTTGAGGATTAAATCTTACAATATGACCTCTATGAACTTGAATGTATTTGATGTGAAACAAATCCAAGTCAAGGTAGGGCCAACAGTCACATATATATTCACAATATATTTACTATTTATATGAAAGAGGCAGCCTTGGTTTTGGTCATCCTTTTTTATATTTGCTCTACTTTTAAAGAGTCACTTGTCTGTGAAGATTTTGTAGCTATTATAAATTTGGATTTATGAGCATCCATTGATTTTTATTAACTTAGACTTTATGTACACCTTAATATATAAAGACACATCTCTAGTAGTCTATTTGATCATATAACATTTTTAAATAATCTTATAGTGTAGTGGTTGTGATGTCTTCTTTGGGCTAGCCTCCTAATTCTCCTCCTTGGGCCATAGTTCCCATTTTGTCATTATACCATCCAAACCATAGAAATAATTAAAGTTGTGTTTTGAGTGTTTAAGGTGTGATATAGAGATGTGAAAATATTCCTTAAGAGTTATAGTAGGAGAATCTATGCTAGAGTGTAACAAAGATTTAGAGGAAACCAAAAAAAAGCTAATTATATAAAGGGAGGTGATCACAGGGAAGGGTTAGGCTAAACCTCACCCTTTTAAGTGTGTAACAATGTTTAAAGTTGAAATAAGATGCCACATTTTCTTGTGGGAAAAGGTTTTAGAGAATAAAGTTTCTTGAATCTTGTTATGGAGAGACTGATGGCTGGGAATTATGTGTGTGTGACAGAGGGGCTCATGAGTCTTTAGATTTCTGCCTAAATCATTGTTATTCCAGTTAACTTTGTGCTTCCTCATTCTTAAAAGAGCTTGCCACACAATAGGCTATATGGCGGAATATTTGTAAGTGACATGGGCTAATGAAGGCAAGTTAGACTGTTCCCCTTCCTAGGGGGCACATCATGTTTTCAAGTGGGGTTTTTGAAAGCCTTGTCAAGCCCTGATCACATTCTCCAGTGCTGTTCTCAGGTATGCTTTGGTTCCACGAGTTCTAAATACAAGCTGGGTGGGGGGAGTAGGGTAAGCCACTTGCAGTTTTCGCGAGCTCGAAAGCTCCAAGAGCGGTGTCACGAGTGAATCGGTAAGTTATTTCCTTAAGCGTGGCTATGGAAGTCATGGACTTCATGCTCTCCAGGAAAAGGCATAACATATGTGGCAATGGGAAGATCGTTCCTTGTGGCAAATGTAGAGGAAGAGGCGATTAGTAGACCCAGTCATGCCTGGCTTGTCCGGCGAGAGGATGGTTCCAGAAAAGAGGTTTATTTTAATGGCTATGAGCTTAAAAAAAATAATGGATATTTAATAAGGCTCGTGTTCTTCAATGGTTTCCATGCCATCCTTTCGAAGCCACTAAAAAAGAATTTTTTTTCCAGGTATGAACTCGAAAAACTGGCAATGTTCTTCCTTATTGTAAGAATGGATTCGAAGAACTTCCACTCTCGCCTACTCTTATCGGGGAATTTAAGAGCGTTTGTCTTTGTCGTGATTGTCCCATCCCATCCAGAGTTTTAGATGAGACCTTGCAACATTTGCTCCACTTTCACAATGATCTGCGCCGGTTGTACCACCGTCGCGTCCTCCAGCGTTGCAGCGTAAGGTGTCGGGACGTCCTGTGACGACAAACACTCGGGCCGGCCATCGAGGAAGTCCCAGAAGTTGTCAAGAATCGCAGCTCTCAAGCTGGCTCCAATCCCGCCAGTTCTCATGCACTCCTCCACGATGAGAACCTTGTGCGTCTTCTTGATCGAGTTCCCAATCGTGAAGAAGATCAAAAGGCTTGAGCGACCTGATGTCGATGATCTCCGGATCATACCCTC